GGCTCCGCAGCCTCCACGGGCCCCGGGGCCTTTGCCGCCTTCTCCTTCGCCCTCAGCTCCCTCCGCTTCCTCTTCTTCCGGTCCCGCTCCTGCTTCCGCCGCCGTCTTTTCTCCAAAGCGGCGGGGGACAGCTCCTTGGTGCCGCCCTAGAGAGGGAAAGCCTGCTCGCGGTTCTCCCAACTTCCGGCCCAGCCCCGCGCGCGGGATCAGGGCAGGGGGTTCGGGAGGAAACCCCTGTGCAGGACAAGGGCCCACTGACTGTCCAACTCTGAGATGATCTGTCACCCAAAATGCGACCGACCCCAGAGGGACAAGGGGACCCCCAAGTAAGAACCACAGCTTCCAGGTCCCAGGCAATGACCAGGGTGCTTTACAGACTCAGTTTCACCAAATCTTCCCGAGACCCGACTCGGCAGATGCCGTCCACCTCTGGACAGACACGTGGGGCAGGTGGCTGGGCCAAGGTCACACAGCCCCCGGCGTCCGCTCGGATCGGCGCCTGTGCCGACCACGGCACTGTTCTGTGGGACAAGCCCAAGCCCTGCTTCACCAACAGCCTTCACCCTCTACCCCCCGGCCAACACAAGGGCCCAGACCCGACTACCAGACCCCACGGCAGGAAGGCAGGGCCTGGAGCTGGTTCACCTCTAGGAACGGACCCTGGGCTTGCCCAGGGCAGTGGGGAAAGAAGGGGGGGCTGTCCCCACACAGCAAGAGGCCCGGGGGAGGTCCCCAGCGCCAGGGCAGTGGTGGCCGAGCCAGAGGGGGAATGAAGCCATTCAGAGAAGCTGAGGCTGGTTCGGTCTCCGCCTTTGCTGTGGTGTCACCTAGGGCAGGTCACCTCATCCCAGGCCCCGCCTACCTCACGCTGCCGGGACATTCCGATGGACGGAAGTGCCACCAGTGTGTGTTCAGCACAGGCGGCATCCCAGGGGGAAGGGGCCGAGCCTCTCCTAGGCCAGCAAAAGGCAGGTGACCCTGGGGACTGAGGCTCCCCAGACAAGGACACCCGGCCTCTTGCAGAACCGAGCCGCTGAGCCCCTCCTGTCAGCCCCCATGTCCCTGAAATGCGGCTCAGGCCCACAATGGCCGGCAGAGCTGGGGGCCGACCCCGCAGAGCACACCTCCTCTCCAGGCAGAGGGGAAAACCACTGCAGCAAACACGCTGCCCTGGCCCCCGAGCGCTCCCCCACCTACCTGGCCCCCCGAGTGCTTCCCCCACTTACCTGGCCCCGGGCCTCCTGGATCTTCTCGTGCAGCCGCTGCCGCAGAACATCCAGGGCAAAGAGGGAGTCAGGCTCCGTGGCCGGGCCATCTGCAAGGAAGGAATCAGAGGACTGAAAGGAGGCTCCCCTCCCCAGGGCCCAGCTTCAAAGCCCGAGTCTCCACGCACTGCCTCCCCTGGTGGCCAGTGACGGATCTGCAAGGCAGTTCCAATACATTGCACCACCTCTTCAGCCTGGATGGGCCCCCTAACCCTCAGGGTCAGGACATACTTGTGTGTGAGGACAAAACCTTCCTGCAGGTCAAGCCAAACCCACCTTCCATCCCGTCAACTCCTGCAGCCTGTGCTTCCCCTGTCAGCTTTCAGGACGCCCCTGCAGATACTTGAGGGCAGCGATACCCTCAAAGCCACGCTGTTCTAGGTCCTCACAGCCTTGCCCTGCACCAGGTCCCGGGCACCATTTGGCCTGGAACCACCGGGCACTCCCTGGGATGCCCTCCGCCCACAGGGCCTCTGTGCTCTGAAAGCCCGCTCTTTGGGAAGGGGAGCCCCCCCCCGCCACCGGGCACTCCCTGGGATGCCCTCCGCCCACAGGGTCTCTGTGCTCTGAAGGCCCCCCGTTAGTCACCCCAGTGTGCCTGACACCACCTTTTCTTACTAGAGGGGAGCGTGTCTGCGTGGATCCCAGCGGGCCCTGCCCAGCGTCCTGGAGCTCCTCACCTGCAGGGACCCCGGAGGAGCCAGAGGCCCTCTCCTGCTTGGCTGCCAAGGGCTTCCTGGCCTGGAAAGCTGCCCGAGGCTTCTCCCCCAGGGCCTGGGCCTTGGACTCCACGGCCTTCTCCCCCTGCTCCCGGGGTTTCTTCTGCGCTCTCTTCCTCTTCTTTTTGGGGGGCCCGGCAGCTTCTGAGCCTTGAGCTTTGCCCCCTGGAATACAAAAGGAGGCAGTGATGCGGTCCGTCTCTGTGACCCATTCAATAGGCAGGAGGACTTGCAAAGGCTCTGATCCCAGGAGGATGCCCAAAGCGGACCAGGATGAAGGATCCCGTGGAGCTCAGAACCACAAATTTCCTGGACTGGCTGCGCGTATCAGAACCCTGACCACTTGCCCACACTGGGCCCGGCAGTGAGATTCATGCTGGGTTCACACCAAGATTTCGCCCCGAGGACATTCATCACAACGTCATTCAAGTGACGCACCAGGTGGGCAGATGGCGCTGAAACCCTCGGGCCCCCAGGCTGCCGCGCCCGACGACCGGGGGACACCGGGGACTTTAAACACCACTTGTATCTCCTGTTAGTATGTTACCCGCTCGTGTCACGCACACACGTGTCTAGTCCACCCCACGGCTCCTCGGGGTGCGGGGCGGTGCAGGCCGCGGCAGG